TTTCCGTTTAAAATCTCATATACGCCGAATTACGCGAACCCCTCGCGATCGTACGCTCTGCGAGACACGACCGCTGGCCGTCGCTGCGTAGACACCTCCGCGTCGCTCGGTCACGGCTCGACACGGCACGGGGAAAACATCAATCGTCAAACAAAAAATTTGTCGTTAGAATTTCCAGCGTAAAACCTAACCCAACTAGGCTGACGAACGTGACGTCACGATAGATCGACCTACCGAGCGGCGAGGCGGACGCCGCGCGCCGCCGGCGCCGCCTGGCGGCGCCGCCGCCGAGTTGCCGCGGCATTTTCGCGGGAGATACGAAACTTCTTTTCTACTCAGCCGCTCTCCGGCCCACGGTAGACGTTGTACACATCTTATTTCGTGCCGTTAACTTTATTATAATCGTGACTCAACTTTGTTACGATTTTTTACCGTTCAATTACACATTGCAATGGCTCGATTCATTCTTAAGAATTTGTGCTTTTCTCTCATTGGTCTGCGCAGAACAATGTCGGATGCGCAAAAGGAATCGACGCGAAGCGAAACAAATGTTACAATAGGATTTAGTAATTTGTGAGAAACAATCAAACGTTCGTCCGCGAACGGTGTTCGCGTTCATGGACGCGACTTTTCCACAGACTTCTGTACACTACTAGGGGCCCGATTCTTGAACTCATTCGAAGAAGAAACGCATACGAAAATTCTGCTCTGACAGAAAAGTTGAAAGTCTATTGGTTGAAGCCATGCGAGTAGCCAATCAACTTGCAACTTTTCTGTAAGAGCAGAATTTTTGCATACGTTTCTCCTTCGAATAAATTAAAAAATCGAGCCCTAGACTGCTACATTCGAGCTGGAAAGCGAGGCAAAAGCACCGCCATATTCTGTAGGGCAAAAAAGTAGCGTGCGTGCGTCTGTGTGTCTACGAGGTGTCGCCGGATGGGATTAGAAGGTTCCCAATACACAGATGTACGCATACTACTTTGTGTGCCCTACAGAACATGGCGGTGCTTTTGCTTCGCTTTTCAGCTCGGAGACAGCAGTCTAGTAGCATACAGAAGTCCGTGATCTTTCCACGAAACTTTCCGAAAGCCACTCCGCGCGTGCTCGTGTCGTTCCGGCGGCGATCGCGAGACTTCGGGTCGAGCCCTCGTGAAATCCTATCACTTATCGAACAATGGCCGCGGCACTCGGACGTGTGATCGTGTACGGGGGCAAGGGTGCCCTCGGCTCGGCCTGCGTATCGCAATTCAAATCGCAAAATTGGGTGAGTAAGCGGGACTCGCGAGTGCCGTTACCCTCGCGTCCGGCGCGTAATCCAGATACGATTAATCGCGCGGCCGTCTTATCGGCGGATCTTGTCAGTACATCGCGCAAAATTTTATTCGGCCTTTCCTCCGTGTTCTGGGAAATTATTTCATAAACGTGCAAAAGGCGCGGATTAACATACACCCGGGGGAAAAAATGTATATATCTAATCATATCTAAAAGTATATCTAACTCAGATATGAATTTCGTCCCCGGCCAATCGTGTATAACAATCGTGTAAATGTGAATTGGATATCGTTTAATAATGCAGATATGTACAAAATATTTAAAAGGTTTATTTTAATATTTTATCAATATTTATCAAAATATTTCATAAATATTTTTATAGTCTCAGATTAAATAGATCATATATACATTTTGTTAAATATTTATTAAGTATTAAAATAAATTTTTTTAATATTCCAAACATGTTTTCGCGTTATCAAACGATATCTAACTCACATTTACGTTGTATACGATTGGATACGGACGAGATTCACATCTGAATTAGATACACTCAGATATGATTAGATATATACATTTTTCCCGGGTACGTACATCGAGAAAATGTTTATAAAATGCGGAGGAATGCGAATACTCAAGTCTGGGTTTTATCGTCCGATTTATCGATGACTTTTGCCCGATCGTCCGACAAATCGTACACCGTATTTTCGTCCGTTTCATTTTTTTTCCGCCGCGATAAAATGGAGTCAATTTTCCGTGGCACGAATTCTACATGGTATTTATGCTTAAATCGGCGCATGGGAGTGTCGTATGATTCGATCGAGGTGGCAATCGATTATTTCCTCTTTAACTTTCGCGGTACCGCTGGGCTACGTCGGTCTTAAACGTTACGCGAGGTAATTCCAGATTATAACACGTAGCCCTTGGCCAATTTAATTATTTATTGAATTTTTATATGTCACGATTGCATAAGTAAACATTACACGCGAATACCTTAATGTAACAATAAGTAAAAACGTTTCAATCTGCGATATTATGTAATTCGAAGATTTTGCAATTTAATCGAAATCGATATTGCTAAGATTTCCCTTAGATGTATGTGTAGATGTATATAGATGTTATCTGAAGGATATCTTGCATAAAAAGTATGTGTACCAAGGTTACTGGTAGTCAGGCAAGTCCTTTCACCTTCTAGAAGCAATTTACCTCTACTGTGTATACGTTTAGATAAATCGCACATAAAAATTTAGCTAAAACATATGTTTTACGCTGAAAAGCACATATACACTCTATTACACTCTAATTATAAGCACAAATGCCATTACATGATTTTTTTGGGGCATAAAATTATTAAATATTTTTATAATACTCATTTGGAATTAAATATGCATTATTAAGTATATATATTCGGTTTATAATTAGAGATCTTTATTCTGCCACAGTATATACGTTGCATTATAATTTTTAGTGGGTTGGCTCGATTGATATGAAGCCAAACGATCAGGCAGATGCAAATGTGATTGTAAATCCTAACGCCAATTGGCAGCAGCAGGTAATTTTTCGTCACTTGTACTTTTATCGTAAATATCCGAGCGGTAAATCTTAATTAATCACTTGTAGCAAACGGAGATCTTGACCCAAATAAAAGATACACTGAAAGACGAAAAAGTCGACGGCATTATCTGCGTGGCTGGAGGATGGGCCGGTGGTAATGCGGCGAACAAAGATCTCGTGAAAAACAGCGACTTAATGTGGAAACAGAGCGTATGGAGCTCCGTTATAGCTGCCAGTATCGCGGTTGAATACCTGAAGGAAGGAGGATTTCTTTCTTTAACTGGTGCTAAGCCGGCCCTAGAAGGAACACCAGGTTTCTTCGATATGAAATTATGAATTATGCACTCTTCACCTTTTCGTATTTGCTAACTGGTCAATTCTACTCGATTAGGTATGATTGGCTACGGTATGGCAAAGGCGGCTGTTCATCAATTGACAAAATCTTTGGCGGCTGAAGGTAGCGGTCTTCCTTCCAAAAGTTTGGTTGCTTGCATCCTACCAGTTACCTTGGACACGCCAATGAACAGGAAATGGATGCCTAAAGCTGATACAGGCACTTGGACTCCACTCGAATTTGTGTCAAAGTAAGATCAAATGTTTGTATCATGTTAATATCTTGTAATTTTTATTATTAAAAAATACTTGTCGTTCTATAGCTTGTTCTGGAAGTGGTCTCAAAATCAAGATCGGCCTGCTAACGGTTCTCTCCTGAAACTCATTACTAATGACAATAAGACGGAACTGATCACGGCTTAAAGATGTCGAAGGAATAAAATTCATGGGAACAAAACGATAGTATAGCTTGTTTATTGTCACAGAAAGTGTAGAAATATGTTTATGAGATGACAAATCCTCCAAATATTATTTTTATATCAAGAATCTATAGTTTATGTTTTTAAACATTCCAACACTACTACATTTGTACGTTGTTGTATATGTAAGCCGTTTAATTATTTGTAAAAAGATAATTTTTGTGAACGTTATACAACGATAATTTTTGTATCATATGTATATTGACATTTGTTGTAAATGTAGAACATATATACACATACTATTGAATGTTGCAAAGACAAAACCAAAAAAAAAGATAATGCATCACAAACTGTCCCTCTTTCGTACAGATTTCTTCTCCTCGAACTTCACAAGTCCAATTAAACAACAGCTAAGTTTTTAATTTTACATAAATAAATTTTAATCCGGTTTACGGCATTGTTACCTAAATATTTCATACTGAACATTAAAAGTTACGATGGGTGTCGTAAATTACCTTGAAAAAAGAAGGGTTTTATAATTTGTTATTAACTTTTAAATAATTAAATTATCTCTATTGCAAGAAATTTTCAAGTTACTTTTATATTAGGATAAATATGTATCCATAGTAACTAACTCGTTTAAAGCAAAATTGGATATCAGCCCGGATAGCTCAGTCGGTAGAGCATCAGACTTTTAATCTGAGGGTCCAGGGTTCGAGTCCCTGTTCGGGCGATTTTTTTTTATTTCTCGAAAGTGGACAATATACATTGCAGTAATCGTAAGTTGAGCAACATTTTAAGCGCAATATATTTGGTAGCATATTTACTGTGATGTACTCACCATAAAACCCCTGATATTTCTCATATACAGTGCAGACCATTATACATAATTCATTGTATCTTCACAGATCTTTATTTATTAGTTTTGTACAATTTGTAGAACTTATTATCTCTGTGGCAATGATGTTGGAGCAACACATCGACTAGGTCTATGGATACATAGAAATCAATTTTCAATCAATAACATTTTATAATATTATGTACTAACACCAAACCGATTACGCTCATGTTGCTTTGGGTGGAGAAAAATATTCATCAAGCATCTTTTGTTCCGCTGGAAAAAAGGAAAAAGGCTCAGATTTATGGTATATTTTCAAATTATATTTATATAACGTATTTTTCTTCACAGTCTCTAGAACTCGGGAGTGTTTCTTTAATTGCCAATACATTTTTCTTGACTTAATGAAGTCTTGTGCAAAGCATTTCCACCGTGACTCGAAGAATGATAAAAAGAGACCCGTACTAGATTGATAAAAAAAAACTGCGAGATGAAGAAGATACTCGACAGTTTGATGGAACACTTAATTATTTTATTACGAAATATCAGTACTCATAAGCTGTGGTCAAGCTGTCGCTTTAAACGTTTCAAAGTATTCTCCTTTCATTCAGAAAAGATAGAAGGAGAAGAGAAACACTTCAAAGCATTTGTAGCGACAGCTTGATCGCAATCATAGTCTGTACTTATTTCAGGGCCATTGTAAATCATATTTTAAACATTGTAACACTGTAGTGGTCTCAAATATAAGAAAGAACTACGAGTACCAGCCATGAAATCCTCGGATATTTATTCTTACAGGTATATCGGCAACCAAGTGTTTTACCTATTAGAGAAAGTCTCTTCTCCTCAGCTAGTTTAGCGTCACGTGCAGGTTTAAGCCTCAGCTCCTCCGCTCTGCGAGCATCCTCTTTCCTACTGAGTCTTCTTTGATGGTAGGCACCGTAAGCGATTCCAGTAAGGAGCAGACTCCAGCGGCAAAACTATAAGCAAAATTGATATATTTAATTAAAAATTTTAAAAAAGATTTGTGATTGAATTTGAATATTGAAAACCTGCTATCTCATAATAGAGGACTTTCCTCTACTAGTCGAGCACCTGTTTAGGACGAAGCAAAACACACTATCGGGTCTTCCAGGTTAGAAAATCGAGAGACGACGTTTCGAGACTTTCAGTGAAAATCGAAGCCACGAGTTGCGGCGACAACGAAGATCATCAGTTACATTTTTATATGTATTCGCTAATTCCGAATATGCATTCACGAGACGGTAGAGAAATTATGTAATAAAATGAATCCGTTCGTGACGGGAGACTGCGAGTGTTGGGTGGGATGATCGGGAAAAACAGAGTTTTGCCGTAAAGTCAAAAACACGTGGGGAGGATGTGTAGCAAACTATGCAACAGCGGAATGTTTCGAAAGAAACTGCTTCTTTTACCTTGATGAAGGGAGAAACCCGCAGAGGTCTCGGATTTAGTTCGGCGGTCGACATCTTGCTCGCGGGTGGATAAAGCCTCCGCTACAATGATTCGCGGTTCTGTCTACAATGGTCGTAGTCGTAAGAATAATCGACTGCGATTGGTCAATTCTTATCGAGCGACTACGACTACGACTACGACCATTGTAGACAGAACCGAGAATCATTGTAGCGGAGGCTTTATTCTTACCGAGCGACTACGACTACGACCATTGTAGACAGAACCGAGAATCATTGTAGCGGAGGCTTAAGGCTTGGGGTTTAGTCCCAGTCTACAATAGATGATTTAAGCCCTAAGCTTTAAGAAATTGGCCAATCATGGTCAAGTATGAGAAGAATGCGCGACTGTGATTAGT